GGTGTATGCTGTTAGGTGCCCAGAGTTAATGGCTGCTGGAGGTGATTTTAGACCAACTCAGACATGAATCGCCTTGACCACCTGAAGCCAAGTGCAGTTATTGATACCTAGACAAATGTGATGCAGTATCAGAGAGAGGAGAAGCCTGTTGGAAAGGTATGTGTCATTGAGCAAGGGTTCCATGTGGAAAACTCCAGGTAAGTTGAGTGGGAATTGAATGAATTAGTTCCTGCTTCCATACATGCACATGGGCATGGCTCTTGTGTTGCTCGAGTTAGAAATAGACACTGCTTGCCTGGTATGACACAAAAGTGTTTACTCACTTCTGGGGCAGGATAGAATTAAAATTACATCAGACTAATTGGCAACATCCACTCATTTAACTCTTGTTGCCTGCAGCAAGAGGAGGAGTTTTTCCTCCTTTACACATTATTGTACAATAAATGTGCCTTTTTCCTTGATGTTTCTAGCCCTTATTTAGTGCACAGTATCCTGCTAGGTAGTATCCATCTGTTTTCTCTGTCTCTTTAAATGGACACTGGAAATTGCCTTCAGTCTGACATCTTAACCTGCAAAAATGAGTTTTCAAGACAGCATATTGGGAGTCTCAATTTGTTGTAAAAGTTTTGATTTTGTTTTCAAAGCAGGGGAATTCCACTTTGACTGGTCAGAAACTAGACACACCCCTGGCAAAAAGCTCAGTCCAGCAGGTTCCAGATCAAGTTTGAAGGGCTGACTCCTGTAACCTGAATTTTTGCTTTTATCTTGTTGTAAATCCCAAACAAAAATGTTGCTCACATTCAGTGATACTCAGTCAAACCTCCCGAACTCTTGGGTCCAGGAGATAGAGGAATAGAGCATCTCTTACTCTCAGTTGATGGTTTAGGGAGCAAGGATCAACAGAGGCAGTTGGAATTGCTCTGCTGTTTTCATTTAAAATGGTAGAGGAGACAAATGTCAGTCCTTTTCACCTTTAAATGCCTGGTGAGTAATGCAAAATGGTTAGAAAAAAATGCAAGACTTGTTTATTCCATGGAAAGGCATTAGAGTTGGTAGAAGAAGTGAGCTGGGGTGTGCAGTAGGCAGGTAACCCGACGAGTCCGTTTGTTTTTTTTTCCTTTCCTTGCATGTGTTGACATTTTTTATTTTGAAGTATATAACACCTTTCCCTGTAGTTGGAAACTACAAGGAAACACTTCAGGAATAGTTAAAGTGCAGGTATTGTGTTTTCCTTGCCTTTATAGGCTGCTCTCCCTCCCAGTCAGAGATTAAATATTAGCAGAGTGGCCTAGTAAATGTGCATCCATGCACAATGCTCTTCCCTCAGGATAGAGATAAGGATCTTGCCAGGATCGTGTCCATCCTTCAAGAGCACACAATTCTCTTCTGAAAAGAAGGGAGGAAGGATCTTGTGAAAAGAGCTACCATGAAAACAGAAAGGAAAAGCAGCACCAGAAGATAGAAAAAAATATAACAATTCTTCCTTTTAATGGAATTCAGAGGTAGTTTGAATTCCTAATTGGAAAATTATCCTGTGCCTGCTGCAATTCTGGCTGCAGGCTCCACATTTTGAAAACTGCTTTTGCAGCAGTTGGGGAAGGTGTCAGCAGGAAAAACTGACCTTTCCTGTCACTACTGCCTGCATGCTCTCAGCATTTTGTCATGCCAGGGGTGATTAATGAATAGGGATGGTGGATGATGTTGATTTAGCTCAGTTCCTCACAGTGAGGGTGCCTTATTTTACTCCCTGCAGCCATCACAGCAGCACACACAGGTGCATTTTGTGAACCTTGGTTTGAATTTTGCTGTCTGGAGTTTATATGCATAGATCTGTATGACCATGGGTCAGGACCTCAGGCTCCTGAGTGTTAAATTCTCTTGTCTTTATAAGACTCTGGACAGGGTTTTTAGCTAGAGCACCATGAAAGCCTTTCCCAGCCACCACACTCTGAGCTACACTTGCTTGTATAAGTCAGGGGATGCTGACATCTCTCCTCAACATGCTTTAGTTGCTTAAATAATATTGGGCAGTGCATCCTCCAAATGTTCTTCAGAGTGTAAGAAACTAAAAGGCTGTGAAAGTGTTTCTTCTTGTTTTGTTGCTGCTCCTGTATTGCCAGACCTGTTGTAGTGAGTTCTCAAGGCTAGAGAATTACAACAGGATAAAGGAATAGATTTAGACTCTGTGTGTCTGTGTGTGTTTTTGCAGCTGTGCTTCAGGATCTTGCTCTTTCCACTGCTGACTTTTTTCATTCTTCATGTAAAGCTCCTCCAGACAAATGATGAGAGACCATTTACTAAAAATACCTGAATTCAAGAGTCAGAGCAATGCAAAACAAAGCTCTGTTCCTTGCCAGTGGGAACAGATGTGAGGCGAGGCATGAAGAAACAGCATTGATTGGGGATCTGTTTTGCAATCAGTCATTGGTATAAGAAAGCAGCTTGGTTTGGGTGAAGGAAGGAGGACCAGTGCATCACTTTTCAGCCTTATCTGCCTGCAGATAGAGCAGCCTGTCTTGCTTTTGTGTTGCAGAACACTTTGTGAGCTTTTCAAGGTGTAGTGCACTATTTGGTGAACAGAGGAGTACTAGGAGTGTGCTGTGTGCTAGTCCTTTTTTGTCATCATTGTTATTCTGAAAAGAACCATTAGGCTTGTCAAAACTAATTAAGGGAACAAGTAGATGGCACTGGAAAGGAACTTCAAGCTAGAATGACATGTTTCAGGAGATCCCTCTCATTCCCTGGTGCACACTTGAAAGGCATTATGAGTAGATCCACAGAGCTCATGCATGCAAATGCACAATGGTAATGAGTATTCTGGATTTTGTTAGGATATACTTAGGTTCTTCTAATAGAAGTCTCTTTTAAAATGAATAGTACTGTGGCAGACTGATGTCTCTTATTACCTGGGCTAAACAGTTTTGCCCCATTGCTGCAGGGGGAGATACAGTGCCCTCTCCATCTGGAGGGGAGGGACCCAGAGGATGTCAGGGGCCCAGGTGGAGCCATCTGGCACTGTCAGATGTGTGTCAGGATGCAGCAAATGGCTCTGAGTAAGAGAGCTTGGTGTCTGGCTTCCAGAAGGTTGAAGGTCCAGTGCATTTAAGGCTGAATTTAAGTAGGAAACCTGTTGGTAAGGGCTGCAGGGCAAGTGCCTAAAGGGTTCCCAACCTCTACCTCCAAGTGCTGGCATTACTACTCCATTTCATTAAGTTGTGATGAATAGATATGATGGTAAGCACGTGCATCTGTCTCTATTGGCATGTCATAGACAAGGGTGATGGTTACTGAATGACTGAAATTACAGCAGTTAGTGTTCCTCATTTGAAACAGGGCAGAAAACCTCTGCTATGGACTAGAAAGATTGCTTTCTATATACATTGGGGACTAATACTGCAGCACACTGTAATGTTTTTCACTGATATTTAAAAGGATTTCGGTGTATCCTACTGTCACTTTTAACCATGTCCATAAATTGGGAAGCTTTGATCCCAATAATTGTGCGATCACAGGAACTCAGGCTCATTCTGGCATCCTTACCAATAACAGACAGCCCTTCTTCCTTGTGGGATCACCCTGAAACTGATGGTAGCAATTAAGGAGCAGACTGTTTCTCACTGTGAGTGGAATGATGAAAGCCCTGCCTGTGCTGCTTTGTTTTGTTGTGTTGGTATCTTCTGGCCACAATTCAGAGTGTTGTGAATGGACCTGCTATCGATGTGGTGCTCTCGTTAACAAGCAGTGCCAGGTTCAGTTACCTGCACAGTGGGTCATAATGTAGTTATTTTGACATTTGCAGCACTGCTTGATCTTAGCTGAACTCCAGCACATTTATATGTTTGTCATTGCTTCAGTTGCTGTGTTTTTTGTGGGATACACAAAAATGTACCAGAGCATCTGTATTTTTAAAATTATTATTATTATTATTTTTTACTGGTTTTGCTGTTGATGCCTCAAGGATGGAAACGGCAAAAGAATGTGATAAAAATGTTTTCAGAACATTAGGGAGTTCTGAACATTGGCTGGCTCAGAGGGAATCTATTATTTACAATCTACTGTATCAAATTCAACTCCCACCAAATTAGAAACTGATTTTTGTCATTGTCCCTTTTTAATCTAACCCTTTGGTTAACTCAGGAGAAGCAGCACCATAAATCACGTGGACATCTATGGATTTTTTTTCCCCTGCCAGCCATTGCCAGGACTAAATGTTCATCTCTCAGTGATTCTTATCAGCCAGGACACTAATAATAACATTTCTGTTCTGGGCTTGACTTTCCTCTTCCAGGAGGAAAAGTATCTTTTTAATGTCCTTTGAAAAATATTTTTAGGGAGTAAATAACAATGCATGGGAAGATTTGACTAGGAGTGCTTGAGTTCAGGTAGTGAGATTAAAGAAACTCCTTGTGCCTCTTTTCATATTTGTCAAGGACCATGGATGGCATGGGATCATGGTGGGAATAATGAATACTTTCTCACCTTTTTAAAATCAGAAATTCACCATATGTGCAACACTGTTTTTCTTTTGAAGATGGGGAAAAGGAGGTAAAGAATAGCAAGATTGCCCAGCAAACCAGGGGCAAATCCGGAAACTCGGTCTTTCATGTCTCTAATCAGCCGAATAAAACCTCCTTTTAATTTGCTTTCTGAAGGCATGGGGCTGCTGTGCCCTTGTTTTTCCTTCAGCATTAAGCCAGAACTCTGATTTTACTGGGTCCTGGGACCAGCTCTCTTTGCTATCACTAGAACAGTCATAGTAGCCTTGGTCTTGTAGACAAGGGACGGGCAGGATCACTCTCCTGTGCCTGGGAAGGTTGGTGTAGGGCCCCCGAGCATGATCTGTGTGGAAATACAAAGGAGATGAGTTGTTAAAAGGTGGAAACCTACATACCAGTGTCCCAAGGTAGGTTTAAACTGGTTTTGTGCTCCTTCACCAGCTCTGTCTGATTGCAGCCTTTCAGCTAAGTGACTGCCTTCTCTCTCTGTGTCTCTCCTCCCAGGTCAGTGGCTGGTTTGGATAAAGAACCTGACCTTGTGCACATGGAAGCCCGGACAGCTGATGGACGTGAGTGCCTGCAGCCACTGCTAAAAACTGGGCTTTGAGCCAAGAATGGAGTGGGAATGAGAATCCACTTCATCCATTTTACCTCCCCATTTACATTTTAATTGGTAGGGGAGATGTAGGTCATGGGGTTTGATGTGATGTTCTTATCCTGAACCTGCAGGGGAAAGTTGTGGGCTGCAGGGCTTGTGTCTGTGGAGGGGGTGGACAGAAGCACAGTCTGTTGGGATAAGAACCCATCTATTCTGTTCCCTGTTTAGCTTTTTTCAGTATCACATAGTTTACATCAATCATAAAGAGCTGGGCTACCAGCACTGTACCATGGAACCTCTGTGCATTTCCAGAGGTGCTCAGAACAGCTAGGTGGTACCTGAGAAATTACCTGCAGCCAGACTTGCCCTCCAGCCAGAATGTCCCTATTCCCCTTTGTCTTGTATTGAAAGTATTTTTTAGTTTTGCTCATAATGTATGAATAGTGTTCCATACCAACATATTACAGGCTTGAAAAGGTGCCTGGATCTGAAGCAGGAAATAGGAAAAAAATTCTTCACTCCCCACTGAAATAAATCTAGTCACATTTGCAGTGGAATGGATTCCTACATAGTCAATCTCCAGCATAGGCATGGTATTAGAAGTAAGTTGACTTACTCTCTCTGAAGTGTGTTAGATATTTCTCACAGGAACTGTAGCATAGTAATGCATCTGCTCCTTATGTGGAAATTTACTCTACTGTGAGGAAATGGGAGCAATGGAACAAGTGTCCCATTTTGGTGCAGGGACAGTATAGAAAAACAGCATAGGATTAAGGAGTTAGAGGATTTCTGGGAGAAAAAAAAAGCCTCATTATTGTTGGTTGCAAACTTATCTCTGTTTTAGTCAAGTGCTGCGTAGGCCAGATGTGTGAACAAACTCCTGTCTGTCAAGATGGCTTCTCTGAGGTTGTGGATGTTCTAAAATCACTCACTGGCCTCCCACTGCTATTTATTGATGGCAGCTGAATAAATAACCAGGCAATAACAGCTCAGGGGTGACAGCTGTTTGTTGAATATGTGGAAAAAGCAAAACAGGCCGACAGGTGGGTGGACAAGGTAGGGAGGCATCTTCAGTGCCTTTGCTGCTTGTGTACTGTCACAGGTATGATGGGAGAAGTGGTCAAATGCAAATAAAAAAATCCCAAGTAAGCAAGCAAAGTGCTGATGGAGTCTGTTTTCAAACTAAGTTTAAACTTGCTCACCCAGCTATTTGAATATTGGATATGTCAAGGATGTAAATGTTTGAAAGATGTATCCCCAGCTTAAAGACAGCTCTCTTCCTTCAGGTCTTGTTTGCTCAGGGGTTTGCTCTTTGTTCTTGTTTTAATATATAAATTCAGCATTTTGAAATTGGCAGCTGATGGTGTTGAGGGTTTCACTGGAAGCCAGGCTTGGCCAGTGGTGTCAGCAAAACAGCCCCAGTGCAGCTGCCATCCCAGATCTGTTGGGCTGTGCTGGCCCTGCTGGCCTGCACCAAAGGACTCCTCTCCCAGCACAGCACAAAAGAACAATGCTGCTCCAGTTAGAGGTTCTTAGGCTTGAAACAATATTAGTTTGTGTTGCAAAGAAATGACAGCCTCACAGCTATTGACTTCCCCAGTGTGATATGGTTCAGCTCTGGGTGCTCAGGAATGGGGCACTGAACTTTCCTCCCAGTTAGTTCTGCAACCAAATTGGGCCTTCATGTGCTCAGTGAAATAGCTGAGGCACTTACACCTGCTGGGAAATGGGGCTCTTCAGTTACTTCCTCTTGATCAGAAAGCTTCTGATGAAAGTTTTCCTCAGTATTATGCAGAAGGAAGAAAAGGCTTCTCTAATGCCTCTTTTAGGTCATTCTGGTGGCTCAGTCACTTATTTGATGCATTAACAGACATAGATTTAAGTATTCCCATTGCTTAGTTTAATTCAAATAGGACAATCCTTGCCTTCAATGTCACTGGCTGCTTGAAAGATACATGATTCTCCTAGACTGGGCATTTTTCTTTCTTCTTCTTCAGTTTCCTCCATGTTTTTAAGTTAAAAAAAAAAATAGTGAGTAAAAGCAGTGGAGAAGGGAGGGGAAGGAATTGAAGGGCTGTTTAGAACTAGACTCCTGATTTTGATGATTTTTAAATTTTTTAATTTTTTTTCCTTTTGGCATTAATGGGACTCAAGAACCCATCTAATACCAATTCAGACTCTGGAGCCTAAAAGGAGCTCTGGAGCTGGGAACAGGTGGTGGGGCATGCTGGAATCTCATTCATCCATAAATGAGTCAGGGCTATCAATAAGCTTATGGATCTGGGAGCATGCAGTCCTGTTCACCTCTCTGGTGACTGTCCTTCAAGATATCTTGCCACATGGTTTTGTCTGTCCAGTCATGGTTGTGTCTCTAAAAAACCCATCTGCCCCTGTGCCTGGTCTCCTTAAATACTGCAAGATGCTGATAATTCCAGCGCCTATCTTATCTCAAGCTGTTCCCATCTTTTGTAGCAGATGAAGTTTTTCACATTTTTTCGACATCTTGGCAGAGTCATTGTAGCAGAATAATAATTGAGGCTTGCATTTTTAAATTGTAAAACCATGTAGGAGCCTTGGGCATTGTGCCTTCTGCCAGAGTGTAATAGGCAGCAGCAAGGACAGGGCTGGATGCAAGGGGACTGTTATGATCACACTGACACAAGCACCCACCAGCATTCCTGGGAAGGATATATTGAACTTTCTGATGTTCAGTGAGTTCATCTTCACCCCACTCACAGATACACTGCAATAAACAGGATTTGAATTATAGGAAAAAGAGGGGAGAAAAGCTAACCAAAAGGATAAAACAGGGGAACTAATTCCGAGAGTCTACATGTCTTTTTCTTTGGAGGAAAAATTATTGAGGCCAGTGAGTTTTTCTCCCTCTCATGGAAACCTTCACGATGCTATGATTTTAAATCTTGCCTGATACCAGGGCCTGATTTAAGCTGAGCCCACCTGCCAATGCAGCTTGTCTCTATCAGCTGCCCTTTTCCCTGTTAGCCATGCTGGCCAGCCATCCCAGGAGGGAGGCAGGGCTTTCTGTCCTGTGTCTAAGTCACAGTCACCTGCACACAGGTTGGCCCTTTGCAGCCTGCAGCACAACAGCTTTGACTGTTTCACTGCCTCCCTTCAGGAACCCACATCTTTGGGGAGAGAGCCTCTTGTGCTCCTGCTTCCTGCCAAAGCTGGCATGGAAAAGATGAGACATGGTAGCTTGGCTTATTTCACCAGTTTGTCCCTTCCAATTTCAAGAAATTGTTTCCGTTTTGTCACTTCAAAAAGGGTAAAAATACACTCCAAAATCTCAAGATGGAAGGCTGTGTTAAATAGCAATGAGGAGGTGGTTCAGGCTCCTCAGCTGGAAAATGGCTGTACATCTGTGAAAGCCATTCCCTAATCCTAAGGGAGGTGGGAAGGGTTTGTGCGGAGGCATGGACGCTGGGATTGGAGCTGCAGCAAGCCCTTCAGGCTGCTTGATGCCCATATTGCCACATTCACAGATGAGCTGAGGAAGTGGCTGGGGTTGCTTATAAGCATGAGAAATTTTTAATGCTGCCTGGGAAGTAGGGAGCCCTTCTCAACTCATTTTGCAGTGGAACATTATAAAAATCCCAAAAGTAACAAAAAATCCAGCCTGCTAAAAGAACCCTGAAAACCAAAACACCTGAACTCTTTAATTCTGGTGTTGTATAGGACAATATATAAATTGGAAGTAGTGCCCAGATAGAAACAACCTTCCTTATACAATACAACTCCCAATGAAAGGTAAGCAAGGCTTTGGAGGCATGGCTTAGTCTCATGTCACCCGCCCCTCTGGGTGAATGTCCTTTAACCTTGTGGCTGCCCAAAAGGGGGGTGCAAAATTACCTCGTTCTGGAGGAGAGGCTGATAATAGCCTGGAAGTTAGGATGGCCTCTTCTCTCTTAATGGAGGCTTTTGTTGAGAGACCCTGTTCTCTCTATGTGAGAAGATGTGCTCTGTGAATGAGCACATTTTAGAAGCTTGAGCAGGGACTTGAGATTGTTTCTTGCTTCGAGTTACACACAAATGGGAACAGAACTGGATGCTGCTATATTTTTTACCTGATTTTTAATGGATTAAAAAAAAAAATTGGGGAAGCAGGAAAAAAACAAGACAACTTTATCTGGTATCCTAAAGCAGAGAGGTTTAAAGATATATTATTTGTGTCTGTGTTTGTTTGTTTTTTTTTAATAGGCTTGTATTGTAAAATATATGAAAATAAATAAAAAAGAGACTAAATGGAAAGTGGGTAGTGAGCTACCCCCCTTCACCACCACCATCTCCTTGTGAATATTAATCAGGTGCCATTCTTTGACTATATTTGATTGCTGGTGTAACACACTCAAAATGACACATTTCCCAATAGGCAGGAAGCTCGTTGTCATGTCAACACTTGTGATTTATCTGCATTTATTTGTGACAGGTTTTTATTCCTCTTCCCATTCTGTCACTCAGCCGCAGCAAATTATCCCCTTTTTGGAAGGATAAGAATATCCAGGCGACTGTGTGGGAGAACGTACTGGAGGGAATGAGCTTCTAAAAATACAACTCCTGACCTCTCCTCCTTGTTCTGCCTAATTTTAGAGCTACCTCAAAGAGCAAGTCACTGCTGTTGATCTCTTTGGATGGCATGGCAGCACATAAGACCCTCTTGTTTTCTGAGAAGTTGCTTTTATCCACTGCAAGGTTGGCTTAGGTTCCACACTGAGGAGCTAAATAGCAGCTCTGGGCCAAGTGTGTGTATATCAGTTGATGAAGAACTTTAATTTATGCCAGCTGAAAGTCTGACCTCTCTGCTGCTGCTGCTGGAATTTTATGCTGGGAGAAAGCACAGCTCTGATACTCTGGTTATTGGCACTGTCTCTATGTCAGGTGTTTTTCACCATACACTTTAATCACTGCCCAGGACTCTGAGCTGGCACCAGCAACATTTTCTGCTGCTTTAGCATCCTCAGTGGGACTACGATTTCATTACTGCACCAGACCTGTGTGACTGCTCTGACTCAGCCCTTATTAACCTGGAATCCCTGGTGCATCAACCCAGAACCAGGTCTGCAGCCTTTAAACAGGGGCCTTCACTCACAGGGTGGTTGGGCATGGACCTTCATTAGATTAAAGCTTGGCTGTGGTTTCTGACTCCTTTAGAAAAAGTATTTTAGTAATTATTAGTCTAATTATTAATGACTCTGACTTGCATTCTTTTTGCATTTTTAAGAGTGTTGCTAGGACAAGACTATAAAAGAGGAAACTATCAGTCTATGAATGTTGGTTTAGAATTTGGGAAGGCAGTTGGCTGAACTCAGAGGATTTCTATTGTGCCCCCAAATCTTTCCACTGCCCCACATATGCTGTAACTTGAAGGACACAGACCAAGGACAAGGCAGGTTATTTTTGTGATGGAGAATCCTATAAGCAGCTTTGCTGGGCTAGTGATTGTCTTTTAAACTTCTCTTTTATCATTTTGAGCTCAGTTTGACAAGGTCCATGTCAGAAAGTTCTATTGTGAACTAAAATCACTGCACCAGGCTCACCCCAGCCCTTACAAACTTGCTGTTTACTTCATTGATGTTCTATCCTCACCCTTTGCAGAAAAGCAAGGAAGCATTTGAATCTAGGAGGCCTGTAAAGTGCCAGAGTGCAAAAGATATGACCCTTTTATCACTCCAGCTGTCATCTTAGTAGTATTTTTATTTTCTTCCTAATTTGCAGTTTTCAGAAGAGCAGTTGAAAAGCAGAGATGGCATATTTAGATTACACACATCCAGAAACACAATGCATTCATTGTTCTGTTTTGTGAGACCTTTTCTTAGCCTGAGTGAAATAATGCTTAACCCCCTATAACCTCTCTCAACTTATTGGAGGTGAGCACGTCTCTTCTTGTTCTAACTTTCTGTATATCTGCCTTTTTCTTCTGTTGTTTTCATGTTCCTCTCCCAGTCCTGTTCCTCCTCTCAAGCAATGTCAAGGCCTGACAGGATCCCATTAGTGTGATGGTCTTCTGTTCCTCTCTCCAGACAGAAGCATTTGATCCTTCTTGCAGGCCATATAACTGCTGTTAGGAATCTTCAGCTTCTCATGCTATTTCATGGCCGTGGCATTTTCATTCCAAGCCTATGTTTGCTATAAAGACTTAATTCTGGGAGATGCTTGTGATTTTCACAGAAAAATAACTTAAATTTAATAGTGTTGATTTAGGCTTTTTTTTTCCTTTTTTGTGTTTTACTACCACAGTTAAAACCAATCAACAAGGCTAGGGGGTTTCAGAGGGAAGACAGGGGTATGATTTCCAGAAGGGTGCAGGAATTGGTGAATTTTATCTGGGTGGCTTCTGCTCTATTTGGTCTCATCAGCAGCTTTCTGATGCATTTATGGTTGGTACCCTCCATTGATGGGGGGTTTTGTACTTCACTCTCCTGAGGGATGTCTGCACAACAGGGCAGGGAATGGCCAATGTCGAAGTGTGGTGAACTCCTAACTTCAGAGAGCAGTTACAGTGTCAAAGGCTGGAGGCAGATCCTGAAATAACATCTCCCTAGCTGGAGATAAGACTTTCTTTGGAGCTGCTGATGGTGTTTACAGACAAGTGGCTCCTAGCTGGGCATTTCTGATGTGTCCCCATGCTCCCCTTGCAGACACCCACTATTTGACGTGTCGGATCCAGGAGTGCTCCGAGACCAAGAGGAGCGGGCCCTTCTCGCGCTCCATCGACGTCAGCTCCCTGGTTGTCCAGGATGAATATATCTTCATCCAGGTACGTTGGCTGCCTGCAAATGGGACATGAATTCTGCCTGCATAAGGGATTTTTTCTTTGGGTATATTCTTAGGATATTCTCAGGATAAGCATATGGGACCGCAGTTCTTAAGAGTCCATCCCGTATTGGCTCTGTAGTCTGGGATACAGCACTTGATCTCCCTGCTTATCACTTGCCTTGAATCATATATTTTTAAAGTTTGTTCATTAAGGGTCCATGAATTTCACTACTTGCAATTTGTGTGGCTAATTGTAAAATAAAAAGGAACTAGAAATGAACTGGGGAGAACAGGGAAGAACAAAGGAAAGGTGTGAATGATTATTTTAGCAATTGGAAAGGTTTATGCTGATTTGACAGTTAAGTAATGCTAATAGGGTGAACCAAAATTTGTTGCAGGAGGTAAAATAGCAGAAAAATTGAGGGAAGTTGTTACAGGGCAACTTCAAAGTGAAAGATGTCTGTAAATTTGTCAGTTGGTGATGATTCTGGAGATGAGGAGAAAGTGTCAGAAATCAAATGAGAAACTATGAGATTTTTTGAGAATACATGGGCTGGATGGAACAGAGCCATCTCTCTAAATTTTGTGTCTGTGGAAACCTGAGAATGAATAGTACTGTCTGGAAGAACACTTCCTGAAGATGTACCGTTTGGTGGAAAACTGGGGGCCAGGCTGTGGTGATTCCAGATTGCAGGAAGCTCAGGAGACACAGAAATTACAGACATGGTGATGTTAACTGCTTTCCTCCAATGCTGAAGCAGGGGGAACAAAATGAGATGAAGACTGGATTCAGGTGTTACAAAAAAGACACATGCTTCCCTTTTTGAATAAGACTGGGTTATATTAAGCTCCTACTTTATTTCCTTGAGTATTTTTCTTGACTCTATCCAAATTATGAGAAAGATTTGCTGTGTTTATTGTCAGACTTTCTTATAAGAGGGAAGACTGATAAGACTGTGCTGGGATTAGGTGGAAGACTGGATCCCTGTGGCCTGGGAGGACTACAGGATGAAAACTGCATGTGTTTGAGCAAGATTGGCAGACTTCTTCTGAAAGTAGGGGAGTGTGCTGCTCTGGAGATGACCTACTGCAATGGGAGCCACAACTCCCCTCAACCCCCCATGAAACCCAGTCTGCTACTGCTTCCTTTGGCCTCAGTGGAGATCCACTGCTAGAAAACACAGTGAATTCAGTTTTTGCTACTTAGTAAGTCGTGATTTGACTAAAAGCAATGGCTTTCCAATCAATAAATGCTCTGCTCTCCAAGGAGTATTTTAGAGACACTCTCTTGTGTGTGGTGGTTTATGTCTGTGGCTAAGGATGTTGTGGAACATCCAACTCTTTAAGCATGAGGCCTTACAGATGTTTCTCACTCCACAGCTCTCATCTGTGTCAAAATAAGGCTGCTCTGTTTAGAATTTTGATTTCACAGTTGAGGACATGGGCCTGGTGCGTGCATTCCTCTGCCTCAAATCAGCAGTGAGCAGCTCAGGCTATTAGCTTCTAAAAACTTCAAGTTAAAAAAAATCTGTGTGTGTGTGTGTACAAACACATGCATGTATGTATATGTAATACTCAAGTGTCTTGACTATTCTTAGCAAGGTTTTATTATAGCTAAATGGGTGTTTGAATTGAAAATCACATCCCCACACTTTAAAAAGCTGTTAAATATACACACAGAACATTGCTGCTGCTTTGGGCAGGAGAGTCTCCATTCCCAGGCTGTGTATCCCTTTCCCTGTGTTTTGTGTCACACTGGCAGGGTTTCAGCACCTGCTGTAAGTGGCTGCAGATGCTGGGCAGGGATTGAGCCCACGCAGAGCTTGAGTGACACGCAGGCACTTCAGATTCCCAGCTCACTCTTAGCTGAAGGTGTGTTAAATCCAGGATATGGTCAATGCAGAGTGTTTGCTTGGTACATATGTAGGCTGTGTCCTGGGTGTATTAGTCTCACAAACCATGTGGTATTGCTGCCTATTATGGGATGTGTCAGATTGCTTGCAGTGTCTCATGCATGTTGTTCAGTCTGGGTAATCTTGGACAGAAGTGTAGGAGCCAGGTCTTTAGAATTTTATATATTAGACAGAGATGAATAAATAAATATCAAATTAAATGTTAAGAACTTGGTGAGGTTTAATAGCTGCATAAAGCATTGGTGCATGAGTTCTAATATGTCTGTTCTGGAACAAATCAGAATTAATGTCTTGGAGTGGAGAGAGGAACTTGGATTTTTTTTTAACTTTTGTCATTAAACCAGTAGATTTTTATTCTAAATCTGTAGTCAGTGTTCCTCTAATCTTAGAGCGATTGAAACCTTCAGGGGCCCCTTATCTCTTATTTCACCTATTTCAACATGAGCTAGGTCCCTCTTTGAGTATACCTTTCTCATTAATATTGGAAAGAAACCTAAGTAGAGCTTAGTGAAAACCCCAAAATTTTTGACAATTAAAATTAGGGAAGATTAATTCCAGCTATTGATATCAATGTCTTAGATTATCTACAAAAGTTATTTACCAGTGAATATCCATTCTAACCAAGATGATAACCAGGCCAGCACTGTAAGATTCCTGAGGAGCATTAACTTGTTTAACTGCACTCAAAGCAAATGTGATACATTGATCCATAATGGATAGGGGAAATAAGAAAACAGAAGACGTTATGATGCCATTATAAATCAACAATTCCTGTTGTGCAGCACTTCTGAAAGGATCTTTCAGAATTACAGTACAAAGAAAGAAAATGAGAATGATCTTATGCTTGAAAATTTTATCTGTTGAAGAGAGTTTGAAAAGACTGGCACTTGTTGCCAGGCAAAAGAGATAAATAACATAGCCCATGAGGAAAGATGTAAAAGGTAATGTGGAGGGAAGAAAGAAATAGCTACTAAGAGAGACTAGGAAGAATTATTATGAATAAAACAGTAGGTGATCACTGAATTTATTGACTGATTTTCTATTTGATTGATCAATAGTTATTTAAGGATGTCTATCATGTCGCTGGGATTGGATTGGATAATTCTGCATAAATTGATATATTAGGAGAAACTCTTACCCTCTCTTGCATGCATAAGTTTTCATTGTGTTCACAGTATTGCTCTGGTGTAACCAGGAGCCAATATCATAATCTTCTTTCATTAATAATACTTAAAATTCATACAACTTGCAAAACAAGTCATTTATTAGTGAGAAAACATTGAAATATGTCTGGACTTATGCACTATAACAGAAGGAGCTAATTTGATGATCAACTTTGCCATTTAATGTCCATGTCTGTGGTGTTCAATTACATAGCTGTGCTCCACTGAGTACTTGTTACTGAAGCAATATCACTTTCCAAACTGAGGTGCAAACATAACCTACAACTGTCTAAAAAATGTGATTTCCTGACAATTACCTAAACTGCGATGGTACTCCCATCTGCAGAGCCTACATTATAAGACACGGGGATCAGGGATAGTCATTTGGGATGAGTCTAGCATACTGATACTTTGGAGAATTTCTTTGTTAAAAAATAAATTACAGAGGGAATTCTGGGAAAGGTATTTTTCAAGCAAGTCTTGTATCAGGGTTTCTAATGGAATTGCTCAGGTAGCTGAAAAGTGTTGAAAATTAAATAGGCTTTAATGAAAATGCTGATTATTTTTTAGGAAATTCTATTTTGAGTGAGATGGTGTTGTTTGGAGAGAACCTTTTTATTTTCCTACAAGTAAACAAATAATATCAGTGCTGCTTGGTTCTATAAAGAGAGGATCAGGAATGATCTGTGTGTTTCCTTGTCAACAGATCAAAAATTTCCACTGAAAATGAGGGAAAGCATGAGCAAATGTCACTGCTTATTTCAGGCAGTGAGGAGAGTCTGGGCCACAGAAGTCCCAGTACAGTATTGCTTGTTTTAGGGGGGTCTGAGGGGTCCCAAGGGACATGAATAGGGCAGTGCATTCCCTGGGAATCAGCTTTGCTGTGGGGCAGTGCTTTTTGCAGAGAGCAGCATTCCTGTGGGCTGACCCATAGCTGCCATAGAGAGCTAAGTACTGCTAAGTTAAAGGAGCTGCTCCTGGCTGCCCAAAGGTTCTGTGCCTTTGGCTCAGTGGTTCTTCTGGGGGGCTGGACTCCCACCTTGAATGAGCCTGGCTGCTGGTGGAGAGGGATGACATTCCCAGTGCTCACCCGTGTGAGGCCTGTGTCCACAGAAGCCTGGGTATCAGGAGATGGACAGAAATAGTGGTGGAACTCTTCAGAATGTGTGACATGAGGACTGCTGGCACTACTGCTGTTACAGTGCTGGTGACCTAAGGATGTCAATGGGACAAAATTTACAGGGAGACAGTATTTTTTGTGAGCTGGAACTGACAGAGTTAGAAAAGGACAGATGAGATTTTAGGCATATTCACAAGATCCTAAGGGACATGAGAAAGGATTTGGTTTCTCAAAATTGTTTTTTCTCTTTTTTTTCCCCAGCTGTAGATCTAGGTCTCATGTTTCCATTCCCCTATTAATCTTGTTGTGTTGTGTAAACCCTTCTGCTTGTGGCTTTCCCCCCAGAGATCCTACCAGTCCAGTCTGGCATGCAGTTATTGCTGTCCCCCTTCCTCTCTCACGCTTCTGTCTCTATCAGCACTTGGAGACCCTCAGGGTTACTTTGGCCTTTTTGATTTGAGCTGGCTGTAAGTGCAGAGGTGTGTGGATGGGTGATCAATACCTGTCTTGGTGGTTTTTTATGTCTTTATTTTTCTCCAGGATGCTGCAGACTCTGCTATCCCAGTGGAGAGGAGCTGAAGTTGTTCTGAGTTGTAGCTCAGACATTCAGCACTTTCCATAGCAGTCACAACACCACTGGGAAGACTCCTCAGACTTAGCAGCTGATACCTGGTTTGGGTTTGGGGGTGATACAGGCCAAACAAATGCCTTTGGAGATGGACCCTCTCAGATCTCTCTTTGACTGGTGATCTCACAAGGGCAAGGAATGATCCCTGCAAAGTTTGATTGAAAAGGATTGGCATTT